ATTTTATTTTCTGTTTTTTATTTGTGTATATTATATTTTAATTAATATAAATTATTAATAAGTATATATATTTTTACTAGTATATTTATTATATTTCTGCTACTTCGTTACATATTAACGAATTGCTTGAAAAACAGAATTATTCCAATCTTATGTTGAAAATTCTTGGAGAACAGCTTTTTTCCATAGAGGATAATATTTCCCTAATTTTAAACAAGATTTCTCAAATTGAGACAAATCATTCTGCTACTTCGTTACATATTAACGAATTGCTTGAAAAACAGAATTATTCCCATTCATAATGTCCCATAGGAACATTAAAAGCAGTTTTATAAATGTCTTTTTCAGCAATCTGGATTTGCCAGTAACCAGATTTTAAATCAAATTTGGAGAAGATGAGAGCTTGGAAAAGACGATCAAGAAGATCCTTCTTGTTGGGAATAGGGTGTCTAATCCATTTTAAAACCTTGTTAAGGGGTTTATAATTAATAACTAGACGAGGGATACCTCGTTCCTGCTCAGAATGTTTGTTAACATAGAAAGCGGTACAAGACCAGGGAGACTGAGAGGGTCGTATAAGACCTTTTTCAAGAAGACTGCCAATTTCAGCCTTACAGAGAATAAGGTAGTCAGAATTCATCTGACAAGGTCTGGCCTTAGTAGGAATATTAAGCTCCGAGAAATCATCTTCATAAGGAAGAGAAACGATATGTTTCTTTCTAKCCCAAAAAGCATTGGGATGATCATTGCAAATGCTAAGCAATTCGTTAATATGTAACGAAGTAGCAAAAAGAGTATTATCTTTGATAAGGTTTGAAAAAGCAGAGAATCGGAAGGAAGAATTATTATTTTTCATGAGAAAAGGAGATTGAGGGGGATAAATGGTAGATTTAATATCTCCATTAAGAAGTTGATAATCCCTTTGAATAACATTTATAAAATGTTTTATATGAGTATGAAAAAACCAAGGAATAAAAGAGAATGTCTCATTTTCCTTAGTACAGAATTCATAGAATTCAGCAGAGAAATTAGCAATTTCATCTTTTGAAAAATTTTCAAAATACCAATTCCGAAAAGGAGCCCATTTGGGATTACCATAGTAATCCTTGCAGACAAGCTGTCTAGCAGGAGAACCATGAGTGAAATCAATCTTTCCTTCACTAGTGACCCAACTTCTAGAGGAATCAAAATCCATAAAAACCTTATATATTGATGTCAGACATAGTCTCTCCAAACCTATGAGGCTGTTGGGTGTTAAGATCAACAGGATTATTATGAACAATGCTATTCCCAACAAGAAGGATCTTCTTGATCGTCTTTTCCAAGCTCTCATCTTCTCCAAATTTGATTTAAAATCTGGTTACTGGCAAATCCAGATTGCTGAAAAAGACATTTATAAAACTGCTTTTAATGTTCCTATGGGACATTATGAATGGAAGGTCATGCCCTTTGGCTTAAAAAACGCACCTTCAGAATTTCAACAGATTATGAATGATATCTTCTATCCTTACAGTAATTTTATTATTATGTATATAGATGATATTTTGGTTTTTTCCAAAGACATTGAGAGTCATTTTAAGCATCTTAATATCTTTAAGACTCTTGTTATTCAAAATGGTTTAGTTATATCCAAACCTAAAATGTCTCTTTTCCAAACTAAGATTAGATTTCTTGGTCATGATATCGAAAAAGGAACAATTATTCCTATCCAGCGAAGTATTGCTTTTGGTGATAAGTTTCCTGACCAAATTCTTGATAAAACCCAATTACAAAGATTTTTAGGAAGCCTTAATTACATTTCGGCTTACATTCAAGATTTAAGTCAATACACTTCTCTTTTATATGATAGACTTAAAAAGAAATCTTGTTCTTGGACTGATAGTCATACTCTTGCTGTTCAGGAAATTAAGAAAAAGGTTAAAAACCTTCCTTGTCTTATGCTTCCTAATCCCCTTTGGCATAAGATTGTTGAAACTGATGCTTCTAATTTAGGTTATGGAGGTATTCTTAAGCAGATTGATCCCATTTCTAAACAAGAATACCTTATTCGTTTTTATTCTGGAAAATGGAAAAATGCCCAACTTAACTACTCTGCTGTAGTCAAAGAACATTTTGCTATTGTTAAATGTGTTCTTAAATTCCAGGATGATTTATATAATCAAAAGTTTTTAATAAAAACTGATTGTAGCTCTGCTCAATTTATGTTTAAAAAGGACTTTAAACATGATGTTTCTAAACAAATGTTTGCCAGATGGCAAGCWCATCTTGCTCCCTTTGATTTTAATATTCAACATATTAAAGGCAAAGATAATCACTTGCCTGATTTCCTAACCCGTGAATATCTTTCTTAATATGCAGGAAAAAACTTGGAGAACTCTTAATGAGTGTTGCATGAGCTCTTATAGCTCTTACTCCTCTTATAGAGGAGGTGGCAGTTCTTCCTATGGAAGAGGCCGRGGTGGCAGAAATTCCTCTAATAGAGGAAGGGGGACTAATGTGATTGCCCAGATGGGTAAACAAAAGCTAATAGCTTCAGACTTATCACATGATAAGGCAAACGAGACTCCAGATTTTCTGAAAAGTCTCCCAGAGGATCATCCTCTTGTGATTGCATACCTTAATCATATTAAGGAACAGAAAGAGCAGAAGGCCAAAGAATCTTTGGCAGCTTCAAAATCATATGCTAATATTAGCAAGGAAGACTCTTCCAATTCTCAGTTTCATGAAACTGGTGAAAAAGAAGTAATACTTCTCATAGAAGAAAAAGATCTTCAATGGAAGGATAATCCTGATTTTATTCTTCAAMGATATCTTAATAAGACATCTTTTATTCATGGCTCTTTACGCCAACGCCAATTCTATGAAGGCTTACTTATTTCTACAAAATCAGTAGAAATTACTCACCACTCTTCTAATAGTAGAGATGAGATAAATGGCAATTTTAATTTTTCAAAACTTGTCATTAAAAAGATTATATCTTTTGAAGAATGGGGATTTTCTCCTCTTGCTGAAAGAGAATGGTTTTCTTCGAGCCATAAATGTAATTTCAAATTCAATTACTGGGACTATGTCCAGAGTTTATCTAAAGTCTTACTTTATGATAATGAGAACAAAAGACATTCTTGGTTCTTAAAGATTTGTGAAAATTGTTTCCATTCCCCAATTCCTAATTGGTTTTTCTCTTGGTGGAAAAATTTTGGAAC